TACAGTCACAAGTGTAGCCTGAATAGAGCGTTAGGTGTGAAACTAGTGAGATAGGCCACCAGCCGACTGCGCCGGAGATGCATTCAAGAGATAAAAAATAATTGAAGTCGGACTTGGTCCGGTGTGTGGCCCCAGGCGGCTAGCCAGCCACACGACATGGCAAATGACAATTTTCATTGCAATTTGTTACTTGCAAACATCCTGAGTACCAACTATTTTCACTGTCAACGTAAATGCTACATGAATAATGTATTTAAAAAGGTTGGTATTATTTATATAGGCGGTGTTTCTCCATATGTAATTCGATTGTCATTTATTTAAGAAAATAATGTAAAAATATCGATGGGTAGTTGGTGAAGGGTGCCGTGGGAGCGATGGCAGTAGGTCGGCTCTCGGCTCGTTGGCTGCTCCCACGCTGACGGCGTCTCACGTCTCCTACACTTTTACATTTCCAACATCATCGCAATGGGTACCTACGGCTTAGACCTTAAAGCAACATTCCCTCCGTGTTTAGGAAGATGGTTCATCACATCTAAGCAATCATTTTCGCTAATGCTTTGTAAAGTGCATGGTTTGTGAGTTTATCAGTTTTGTCTTGATACATTCTTTTATGGGAAATATGTAGGATTTTTCAATAGCATTAAACATTTTGTAAAAAGTAGTAAAGAAGTAATTAATATATTACGTCACAACCTACGTTTCAACTGAGGCCGCGTTCAGGTTTTATCTAAACTGTGACAAGATATTACTGACTAAGAGGTTGTGACTTCGAATTCAGCTTCGATTTTTGCTGAACTTCCGTCTTCACTCCAGGGAATGTGCTATGGTATGGTATAATATATTTTTTATTACGAACTCTAATTTCGTATTGCGCCCGCCTGAGGGGTCTCGTTGCCGATTGCCGGAGGCTTTAAGATGTGGTCTAAATAGCGAGGCAGGCGCCCAGAGCCCCACGTACCCGCGATCTCCTCGGGCATCCTATCATTATACGAAGAATTAAAATTCTATGTACTAAACTACGAGATAATTGGATCCATGTATTTGTATCCAGTTTCAGATGCGGGTTCGGGGTTACGATATGGAAAATTACTAGTAGTAGTCCAATAATTTCGTGTATTTAATCAGTGCATATTGTTTGTGTTAAATTTTCAATGCACATAGTGACAATTGCAAATTATGTGAATTTGCATTAGTTTTTGAGATAGAATAATATCAGAACATTGTGTCTGATCATTAATTCATGGAAGCTAACTTTGTGTAAACTAACATTTATTATAATATGTCAGTATCTGCACAGACTCTAGCATGTAGGTAAGTATTTATTAAATATTGATAATAAATTGTTTACTCGATGAAACATACAAATAGCTTATTAGATACATATTACCTTCATCGAAATGACTATCAAGTCATAATATTTACTTAAATAAGGACATTATTGGATCCATCTTTTTTCTTATTTAGATTCATAATAGTTTCTTCGCGATTGTCACAGTCGCTGGCTGAACGTGTAACGGGTTCATTGCCACATTGACCAAAAAAAACTAAAAGAGTAAAAAAGTGTCTTGATCTCTAGTTCTAGTACCTATGAGAGCATGTTAAGGCTTTGGTCTCAGTTGTCACACAAACAACTGCGATAGTTGTTAGGTATATCCAAACATTTCAAAACCTAATTTGCAATGATTTCTCAACCAAGAAGAACGAGCCTTGTTAAGCTATTAATTATTATGTCACATATACTTTTAGTAATAATTATAGATGTGGTTAATTGTAGCGTGTAGCTAGGTACCTTCTTTACTTTATAAAAACTGACAATACATCATTGTAATAAAAAAATTGTATGACAAGGGCACGGACCAAGAGTCCGTCTGTGGAGAATGAATCTGTAACATTAAAAAGAAAAGAGAAAAGCTATTGAGGAGGGCAAACGATTGTCGCTATACGTAGAAGACATTCATCTATAAATATTATTTAACCCTAGAACCACAACATGGGGTCATGGGTGACCCCACGCACACGTATTTTTATTTTAATTTTGCGAGTTTTGCATCTACAACACTGTGCGTCTAGGTACCTTCCGTAATTGGTAATCAGTGGCCCGTGACGCATGGCGGGGTGCGCACGCTCATTAGGTTCGGAGATATTGCAGTTTGGGGTCGCCCGCGACCCGTGTTGTGGTTATCGAAACTATTTTCTTGTGATTAACTGTTGTGTGATTTCACGTTTATTTCACGAATAGTCTTTCAATATGGCCTCAACGTCACGAGCCCTTGAAAGTAATCAAATTGAGCATCTTTTGGAGGAATATGAAGGTGAAACCTCCAGTTCTTCGGACGAAGATGGATCTGAAACTGCAGAAAATGAACATATATCCGAACACTCCGATGAAGATGATTTGTTTGATGTTGAATCTGGATCAGATGATGATGATGTTCTTCTGTCTGATTTCTGTAAGGGCAAAAATGGTTATACTTGGCGAAGAACTCCGTTCACTGTTCCTAATACACGCACTGCAAGTAGAAACATCGTGATAAATCAACCTGGTCCTAAAGGTATCGCACGCGACGCAAAAACCGAGTTAGAAGCGTGGAAGCTATTTTTTCCAGACGAAATATTAGATGTTATTGTGATGCATACCAATGCACAAATTGACAGAATTTCTGAGACCATAAAAAACCAACGTTACACTTCTAAAACTGATAAAGTGGAGTTGATGGCTTTATTTGGATTAATGTATCGTAGTGGTTTATACAAAACAGCTAAAACAAACTTGTCCGAGTTATGGTCGATTGTGGATGGTCCACCTATTTTCACAATGTCAAAGAACAGGTTCGAATTTTTGGTAAATTACTTGCGGTTTGATGATCATGAGACACGTGAAGCAAGGAAAGTCAATGATAATTTTGCAGCGCTGCGTGAGGTATGGGACAAATTTCAAGTACTATGCTCTGAGTACTACACTCCGTCGGAACATGTAACAGTAGATGAACAAATACTTGGATTCCGTGGTCGCTGTAAATTTATTGTATATATGCCACAAAAACCTGATAAATATGGCATGAAAGTTGTAATGATGTGTGATGCTAAGACTGCCTACATGATATCTGCAATTCCATATGTAATTCAACTTGCAAATGAGTTACGCAATATTGGACTAACAATGATAGGCACGTTGCGAAAGAACAAACCCGAAATACCTCCAAAGTACTACTTTCTAAGAAACCTAAGCCTTCAATTAGTACAGCCCTACGTGAAACGCCGCATTGATGAGGTCAAAAATTTGCCCCAATCTCTTAAAGTGATAATGCTTCATGTTTTGGGAGTAGATGAAGAAAACAGTGCTCAGGTAGCCCAAGCTCGATCAACTTCAAGTTCCCGCTGCTATTTATGCACTAGAGCCAAAGATAGGAAGGGCAGAGAGAAATGTGTTAAGTGCTCCAAAAATATATGTGCAGAACACAGGTTACCTATTTGTCACCAATGTATCTAGATTTTCATATTTGTACTATTTTTTTTCCCCTTAAGCATTCCATTAATATTCAAAAAACCTTGTAATAATTGTTTAAATTTATTAAAGTGTAATATTTTGTAAGTAATCATTTTTTTATTTTGGGGTCACCCGTAACCCATGTTGTGGTTCATTTAATTAAATTTGGATGTTGTAGTTGTAGGGTTAAGAATCAGTACTCAGGATCGACTTTAAAACCAATTGGGGAAAGGCAGAAAAAAATAGAGATGCATAATAATTCCCCTTCTGTTCCTTTCTGCAGAACAATAAAGTTGTTTAAACCCTTAACTGAAAGCAATTTTGTAATAAAGCAAATTCCTTTCCTAGACGTGTTTCATAAAAACAAATAAACTAACTCTAGCTCAGACGGTGGTTGTTGATTCTTTTTGTCTAGCATTAATCCAAGCCTTTAGTGGTCTTGGATATTTCCTAACATTTGTATCTAGACAATGCTACAAATCTTTTTATTGTAGGTGTTAGCACCTTGCATTTTACTTACTTATTTTTATTTTTTTCTTGTTAAATGAAACATATGGATTGACGACACGATAGACATATTGGATTCTGTTTTGAACTACCAGTGAATAATGGTATTTTTGGAACAAATAAAATGATACTTGCCACTGGAAGGTTGGCATACTCGGTGACAGAATGCAATCGAATATTTTATATCTACTATACTATATTGGTAGACCAAATACACAACGTGGGCATAAGTATTAATCTAACTGCGCGTTTTTACACCAGTCTCCCAATGAGGTAGTCACAGTTAAAGATGGTCTGTTGAACTAGTCCTTGAGCTTTTATTGATTTTCCTTGAAATCTTTACGTATATTTTATCAAGTTTATAAAATGTTATCCACTTTACTAACAAAAGCTAGGCGATGTACCTCTATCTACATTATTAGCTGTTGGGTGCGCTTTCTGCAAGATAATTAGATATTATGTATTTACTAAGCTATATTATGTAGCTATTGAAGATTGTCTTAAAGTATTGCTTATTTAATCTTTTTACAACTAAGAAAACAATATAGACTTATGATAACAATCAGTGTGATTTTACAATTCAATGTAGATTTCGGATAAGCTTTTTTTTAAACCTTGAACTACAATTTGTGGGTTACAAAACACGGTACATAGCAATTTAATACAATAATATACAGCGATCTATAGATACCGCTAGCTCTATTTCACACTTCTAATTACCCGCTGAAAATTTCGGTCTATCCAAATGGATAAAAAACTAAATACGTATTTAGTTTTTTTTTAAAACGTTGCTCCATATTAAGATTTTCTCCTATGTCGCAGGTGCGTTTACAAACATACAAATTCACATACACAATGACACCTAGACCCGAAACATCAATTTGTAGATCACACACACGTTGGGCGGCAGTCAGTTGCCCAGCCACCACGCCAACCGTGCGTTTTGAATTAAATCTAAGACGTCACATTAGTAACAAGGCAGTGTAAGAAATGGCTATTGTTTCAGATGCAAGCCGTCAAGGCAGGTAGCCCGTTGCCGGAGGAAATGTCGTTGGCGGTGGACAGCAAGCTGATCGTGGGCATACCCCGCGTCGCTACCACCACCAAGGACAATGCTCCTGTCCACATCGACGTCGGTGGCACCATCTATACTTCGTGTCTAGAAACGTTGACTTCGTAAGTATTTTATACCTAAAACACACTATTAATAAGTATACTTGTAAATTAGAGTTACAATATTAGGCCGACCGGTCGGTACAGCACTCCGCGGGTGACTGGCTGCATACATGTCATGACACAATGTATGTCCCTACGTTCATCCTCGCCTTTTTTCATTTTTGTTTTTTTTATGGGCTAAGCTGATAAACGGGCAGACGGATCACCTGATGGTAAGCAATCGGTGTCGCCCATGGACACCCGAAAAATCAGAGTCGTTACAAGTGCGTTACCAGCCTTTTGGGAATTAGGAATTTGAGGATTGTGGGGCATTCGGGGATTGGGGAGACTAGGGAAGGGGGAAACTCACTTACATGATGAAACACAACGCAAGCGTTGTTTCACGTCTGTTTTCTGTGAGGCCGTGGTATCACTCCGGTCGAGCCGGCCCATTCATGCTGAAGCATGGCTCTTCCACACAAAAATTGAATTAAGAAATAACCCTAAAGCTGAAAGTTAAAGTACATAATTGTCTAATGTATCATGACCTTAGTATTAAACGGTTATACGGTGCGCCGAGCGCTGATGCTCGTTTCATATCAATGATAGCAAGTATGCAGAGTAATTGCATTTAATAACTCTAAAAGGTAATGGAATTTAGACAAAGTCGTGCCAAGTGTAAGGTTGCTTACTAAGATTTTTTTATTATTATAGTTAAAGTGTGACTTGGCCGGTAAAGGGTACACAAGGTTATAAAACCAGGTGCAACACACCATTGAGCCAATCTGTCGCCAGAACCGCTGTTTATTCAACCAACTTTTTTCTAGTGGCAATTTTCCATCTCACACAACATTATCTATTATATTATGACGTATATATTATTAACTATTATATAAGCCGACGATTTTCTACAGCCGTGATATTCTCATATGTCTATACAGAGTTCACCACGACTAGTAGAGTTTTCGGGCGAAATTACTTAGTTCTTCTCACTTCAGAGCCTTGGAACTAATCTGGTAATAAAAATAGCACAACCAGCCAGGGCTTCCTGAGGTTCTGGCAACTGAACTACCTCTATTCTCTGATCCCTCTCATGAGTTTGATCTCCCTCGCACTCTGTGGTCTCCAACCAACTTCTTCTCGTAGCGCTGCTACTTACATTACTAATCTACTCATTTTAATGTGCAGCTCACTACTACTAGTTACCTGTGCCGTGCTCGTAGATACTACTTCTCCTGTTAGCGACCTTTCCATCACCTTATCCACTATACGTGCTAGATTGTAAAGATTCTGATCTTGGTTAACCGCTAACAGAACTCTAACTGCAGGAGATAAGCGGGATGTCCAAAGGTTTTGTACTGTCTCTTCGCTAGCCTGACAGTTTCGAGCATATTCATGCATTTTCCTTAAAAGTTGTCAGCCCAGGTGAATTTTAAACGGAAAAGCAAATCAAAACTGCCCAGAAATGCAGTAAACTTTTCATGATATACCAAGGTTATTAGAAACAAATATCGTGTATGTTATAACCAGAGATAGGTGTGCATATAAAATAATAACTGATATAAATTTTTACTTATTTATCAACCCCCTAAGTTCTCGCATAGTTATTTTTTTCTAAATGAACGTAAATAATGTATACGTAGGTCTAGGTATGTCCAGTTTAAGGCAAATACATAAATAACAGTACCCACAGGGGAAGTTACTTAAAAATAAATTAAACCAAACACAATTTTATTGTTGTTGAACCAGGTTTACCTTTCATTACTTTTCCATTTTTGCTGGACTGAAAATAAACAACTGTATTGTTGCTATCGTAATGAATGAGTATCGATTGGGTTATATACATAATATTATTAATACTTATTATTACATTTGCAACTCACTTGTAGTATCGAGCCATATCTAAGTGTGACCATGGAGTAGGAAGGGGTTAAAGGTTTAATTCAGTGTACCTATAAGGGTTTTGACTAAGTAGGCTAATTCTTTATAACCATGCATAAACAATTTCCACACTAAGTCTAATAGGAAGCTACTACAATTAGGCTATCATCCACTTACCAATGTTACGTACATAATAATATTATTACGTTCAATATCTGCATTTCTGCTTATCATTATAAAATAACGATGGTATACCTACCTTGTCTATGCATAACTCTTCTATATCAATATTTCTAACCATTACAGTACAATCAGTACTTGTCTGCCTTAGAACTCTTTACTTTATTCTCTGTTGTTTATGACATTCCATAGATTCAGTAAGCCCGCGGGATACTTCTAGCCCGAGGTCGTGCCATGCAAATGAGCCCCTGGCATTTTCATATCGTGGATATCAATGACAATGCTTGCGGCAAATGAAGCGTCAACTCCAATTAAGTCTTTGTGCTGGAATATTTGCTAAAGCATACCCAGTTGTTTTTAATTAGTTTGTTTTTGTTTTAAACTACAAGGAGTTGCAGACAATTCCCCTGTATAAGTTGTTCAAAGAAACTGCGTTGTTTGTCATAGTTAGTTGGTTGAATTTGATTCCAATATTATTGTTTTATTTATTTCACAAAAATATTGATTATGCTGGTAATACTTGGAACAAAACCTGCATTTATGATGGAAAATCTTTTGGTACTATGTCAAGATATAATATGAAAAAGTTCTATCACTTTTAGTTCAATTTTGAGCGCAAATGTTTATATTGAATTCTTTCTTTCCAACTACAGAATGAATTGAAAAGGCCTAAGTATCTTAATGCTAAACATTTTAAAGTTCGGTTTTGCTATTGGAATTGTCTCTGTATAAAAATTTACAAAACTTAGTAGCATTTGTAGGACAGGCGCTATTTGCATAACGCCTGTCCTACAAACGATGCAACTAATTTGATATTATTTTTGCAGGGCTTAGGAAAATGCACGCATGAACAAAAAATCATTTTAGTCTTGTTATAAAACAAGGTCTGTCCCTTTAAATACACAGTAAAATCATTTATTCAAAATAATTTTCCTAGAAGAGAATTGTGAAAAAGTAAAAGGTAGAGTGCGCTTGAAGAAATTACTTAAATATTAATATACAAAGAACGGTACACAAAGAGCGATATAAGCGATTCCCGCAAGATTATTTATTATACATGCACGTATTACCAAGTCTTTGGTGGATGGTTACAAAGAAAACGGTACAGTATGCGATTAAAAACTGTTTACAGTTCTTGGGTCTTTAATACAACAGGAACTTAATAAAACGTTCATAGCCCTTCGATGGGTTACTGACCCTAGAAAAACACTGTCTTCTTCTCCCAGTAAGGCATAGTACTTGCAGATTTTACAGGAGGAATTGTTTATTATTCATCGAATTGAATAGTCAATCACCCTATGTTATTCAGTGACTATGAATGCATTCTGTAGTAAACTTGTTATGATGACGACAATGCGTTTGTTTTTCGGTTGAAGTGTACTTTTAAAAAATTCATTACGGTTAGGGAACTGGGATTTCCTGTGACTAATAGCAAACTATAGAACGATAATCTTGATTTATTAACAGGCTAACAGCTTATACCCTAGGAAATGGGTTTTATATGTATTTTATTGTAAGTAGTTTAAGTTTCAACGTGTTTTTTATAACCTTTTGTTATAGATAAACAATTATGTTCCTACTGGAGTGCTGTGGTTACTTTACAAAACGATGATGCGCTGTGTGAACTTGGTCTATATATAATTAGATTATGTTGATGTTCGTTCAATCTTAATTACTACTCAAACTCTACACAGGTTAGCGAGCTTCATACAGCCTCAGGATCAATTCAATAAATGTTATCTTACTTTTGTTTTTGAGGTAGTTTTTGATGAAACTGAAATGTGTACATAAAATGCACATAGTTACTTACATTCAGGTGAACTTCTAAGTCCGGTAACTTGTAACTCCCACTAGTTTGCGGGTATCATTGGTTGGTCGGGCGCCGTACTACCTCTACATCCATGGAAAACCTAGATAAAATTGTACCTAATATTACTAAGTACATCTAGCGGATCTAATGAGAAAACTAGACGTAGACGACTAAGGGCCGATGTTTCAATCATCAGTTAATTCTTAACTGTAGATAAAAAATGTCATTTGACAGTTTTTACTCATGGATACGTAAAAATTGACAAATTTCGAAATTATTCCTCAGTTAAATTTTATCTGTCATCGGAAAAATCGGACCTTAGTCTGAATCATAGACGTAGGTGCTGGTGTTATATTAATTTAGTTATCTTTAACACTTTACTAGACTCTCTTTCCCAAGTCATAGACCAGCAACGACCACGAAGGTTTTAACTCTAAAGTACGTTCGTATAGGATAATTATGGGAAACTCGTTTTCCAACGTCGACATAGGCGAAGCCGTAGGCAAATGCTAGTTACATGAATGAATAAATATAAAATGTCCACTTGAAGCAAAACACGCGATAATCCCATCGGATTCATTACATGGACAAGAACATAATAACAACTAGAACATAGGTCTAATCTATGTTTCAAGTCTTAGAAGCAATGAGATCTGTCAACATAATTTACCATCAACCATTTTATTTCATTCAAGAAAGACGAACTACATATAAATACACTGCTGTTAAGTAGGTACTGGCGTATTATGATGAATGACTGCCTGATAGGCCGAGTGGTCGCAAGTGCGACTGCCGGGCAAGGGGTCTCGGGTTCGATTCCCGGGTCAGGCATAGTATTACTGTGTTTTAAAAAAATTCTCAACACGGAGTCTGGAATTGTGCCCGGTATATGGCAATAGTCTCACCCCCTATTACATGGGACTCATAACATAAATAGTGAAAAGTGGGTGTTACATTGTACAGTGGCATAATGTGCACCTCTGCCTACCGCTTCGGGGATAAAAGGTGTGATGTTATGTTATGTTATGGCGTATTATTTGTACAGGTTTGACATTCCAATTAATATATTACTATATGATGCAAAGGAACTCTTCAAATAAGTGAACCATCTTGGTACCTACATACATTTACGAAGCTTCTGATTAATTATTTTAGCACCAGCATGGCAATTGTAAAGAAGCGAGGGCATCACATCGCGGTGGTCGCGGCCCCATTGCAAGTTGTTGTCGCTGCGTTATTTGACTACATGATCAGCGTTATGTGCGCTGTTAGCTCGCATTGTATAAGCTTGTTTTATCTGAGCTCGCCGTGTTATTTCTCAGTGGGAGCGTCGGTCGGAGCGCGCCGCCGGCGCTGCCGCGGGGCCTGCGGGATATGCAGTGCTCCAACCCCGCCCCGCAACGCCGCCTTCGCCCCCTCACTTTTTCTTTTAATCAACTCACTTGGGGGCACAATATAAAATATTCTTCGCTTCAAAATCTTGCGAAATCATGAACATTCAGAGCCCAACAGTCGGTCGTTAGTCGCAAAATGTACCTATAGTTAGTTTATCGTCTAACCATACAAAGATCATTATTTCTGTAGTTAGGCTCTAAAATAAAATTTTTCACGTCAATGTGACGAAAATAAGTATATCCTGCTTTTCTTATCGAATTCCTTAGAGAAGGAATACTGAAACATAGGTACTCAGAGGTTACAGTCTCTTTCCAAGTCTAGACATAATAGAGTGGGAGTACAGTGCAATCTATCTGTAGTGATGTTTTGAAGAAAGAACCCACAAGTCCAAGTACGTCAGTTTGTTTAACTTAAACTTCTAAGTTTAAGTTAAATGTGATCATGATGCTCCGTCGAGCATCATCAGGTTAGAACATTTCATCCTGTGATTGCAATATTTTTAGTAGGCATAAATAAAAATGCCAAATTTTAGAAAATGCGTATAAGTATAACAATGTCACATTGTTAACAATCAATTAATTTTCACAATTGTGGCAATCATCCCAACTTGTGTAGAAGTTACAGCAGATCGTTCTCAAGTGTGACCCTTTAAGTAACAATTTATTTTTTTCAATTTACTCGGTACTTGAGTAAAATAGTTGGAGAGCACTCAATCGGAAATCATTTTGTATCTAGTTCACTCGAATCAACGAGTCACTGACGCACGATCAATTTGCATCACTCAACAACTGATCACAGAACGTTCGAGTTGTTTAATAGGTGCTGTTCTTTATCATTTTGTAGCTGCACTTTTTATTTGTAATTTCTCTTCTTCTGTGACTTGATTTGGATCTCCGTTTTTGAACCTAATCCAAACATTTTTGGTTGCAAGTCAGTTAATTAATTTCGGCTGTAAGTTCACTATAGCGTAACCATCTTTTCTGTGATCGTTGGTATATATCAGCCACAAAATGTTTAGTGCTGAACACAAGCTACTATAAAATTGTCACATAGTTTAATGATAATGTTTATAAATTCTGTTATTTTTTCACAGATATCCGGACTCCAGATTGAGCAAGATGTTCAACGGGACGATTCCAATAGTCCTGGACACTCTGAAGCAGCATTACTTCATCGACCGTGATGGTGGCATGTTCCGCCATATCCTCAACTTCATGCGCTACAAAAAGCTGTTGCTGCCATCTAACTTCCAATACTTGGACCTGCTGATCCATGAGGCGCAGTTCTTCGAGCTGGACAGTAAGTACTTTCTTATTTGTCATTAATTTTAAAGATTTCTTGGTTCTCTATCGTCTATGTAGATTTATGTGGGTACATATACCCACATAAATCTACATAGACTTCAAACTACATACACAAATTGCGATCTTGTGTTTAAATTATAATAGGTATGTATGACCAGAAGCGGATTCTACCTAGAAAGCGCCTTTGGCAAGCACCTAATATGCGCCCCTAATTTTTTTCGTGTCGTTGCGCCCGCGCCCTTCTTTTACCTTTCGCCCTAAGCATTTGCCTAGGGTACCTTGGGATAATATGACTGCATATGACATGCTATCAATTTACTTACCTACCTAATTATGTGTATTACTTATACGTTAATTTCGTTGCATTAAATTGGTCATTCATAAAGTTGGTTTCTATGTTCCCAGTCGTTTTTTTTACTTACTTTTTATTGTAACTAAACTATCCACTTAACCTATTGAAATATTGTAGTCTATATCGTACCCTAAATTTGTTTATACAAAAGTAGCCTCTAAACATCGGAAATAAGGTTTAAAACTGCCAGTAAGGTCTATAACTTACCACTTGGGGATTAAAGGGTTTGCTGTGCATTAATGTACGTGTTCGCTTGTGCGATTCAACCGTTTTTCAGTTGAATTAAATCTTTTGATCCAAGAATCTGATCAATGTAGTTCCTTGCGACTTTGCTATGATTTTAAACACCTGCCCTGCGAATTTATTGTATTAGCCAACGTTACTGCGTTATTTATTTATAAGCAGTTATCTTTTTACATTCAGATAAATATATTAAAAAACTGCGTTAAATTTATGCTGTTGCAATCGATAACTTTCTGTATTAATAAAAACATCCCTTTGTAATAGTAGGTCTAAGTAAAGGGATGTTTTTGATGGTACAATTTTTAATTCTTCAGCGATTTCGTTGATTCACGAGGTTTACCTATATATTTGTATTAAGCCGTTGCTGCTGTTAGCCATTATAACAATTGTCTTTGCGAATAAATACATATTGTAATGTCTGTGATTGTAATGATTTTCTAAGAAAAAGTACTTCGTTTATGTACTTACCTATCCTTAAAAAAAACTTTTTTTATATACATAGTTACAAGGTAAGTCGACCTAAATCCTTTAAGAAGTGATAGTAGTTATTATTCCTGACCGATTTGACTAAGTAACCTCATATCCCAAACTGAACCATTCTCGAGATATCGGATTTTGTATTACTTTTATAAAAAATCCAGATATTGGACGATTGCACCCTTATTTTTGTGTTTTGTGGACTCCTGGCTGGCCACGGTGGTTCACATCTTCCGATCCACTTATTGGAATATTTAGTACCTATCCAGCTCATATCTGGCACTCCTTCTGATGCGTGCGGAGTAGCCATCGTAATGAAACCACATGTCATGAATAAGGTTTAAAAAAGCCGGTATCTCGAGAATGGTTAAGGATGAAATATGGGTTCTTTAGTCAAATCGGTCAGGAAAAATGGATAAGTACCTACTATCACATTTTGAAGTATGTGGGTCAACTTACCCTGTAACCCTGTATATTTGTATATTGAGAATTATGTCGAAGAAACGTAACTAGTTTCTATCCACGTTAGGGGCTCATATTCATAGCAGCAGCACTAATTACAATTATGTAATTATTTAAGAACTAGCTGTTGCCCGCGACTTCGTCCGCGTAGAATATTAATTTTAGAACATATAACAATTTTTTTGTTTCTCAGTCCAAAATAAAAGTGGCGTATGTTACTCCTTAGTACATCAGCCAGTAAAAGTCTTGCAAAATCGATCCAGCCATTCTAGAGATTAGCTAATACAAACATAATATAGACAGACAGACAAAAATTGTATAAAATGTTATTTTGGTGTGTGTATTCATGTATATGTAGTAAAAAACAGTTATTTTAATATTACAAACAGACACTCCAATTTTATTTAACTGCATAGATTGGTCAATGAATACTTGAAAAGTAGCACTAAGTACTATTGTTCTTGGAAATAACAGATTCGTAGAACTGATGGAAGGGGGAGAAAGCCTTTTTTTCGTTATAAAAGTAATTCTGAAAATTTCTTTAGTTATCTTTTGTCATGTATACGGTACAATACGATAAATAATTAGAATGCGATGGAAATGTAGACAATAGGGTAGATGCCTAATTTTTATTTTAATGTCCTTCTGGTAGATTATTTTAAATCATTAGACACGTATTTTTTTATTTTCTTACAGAAACGAATACTTTCGGCGATATATTGATTTGAAATGTCGCGTGACGTCGCTTCTATGTACATACATTTTATACGTAGTACGTAGAAACGACGTTTTAGCCCCCACTCCTAAACTTTGATTCGTTTTATCTAAGTATTGTTTTATTACACGATAAAATAAAAAAATACGTGTCTAATATTTTTTCACTACCTAACCTACGGACTAATTAGATTTTTAATTTTCATACCCCGTCATTTAACAATAGTAATTTTCATTTTCACACTCCGTGGTTGTTAATACGATGACTATGCACGTAAATGATTATTAGGTACCTACCTACAAATACAACAGAAATAATGTAAAAAGGTATGATGGGGTTGTCATGTACAATATAAAAATCCCTTAATAAAAAACAGATTGAAAAATAAATATAGAAAGTAACTACGTAAATTATAAGGAAGCTTTAATTTCTGTTAAGCAAATGCTATTAACACGCTACCAACCGATGCGATGCGAATATTTTTATTGCAAAATGCACGACTTTATACATTAAGTTAAATTTACTTTAATTTTAGTATTATTGCTAAATTCTAACAAAAATTGTATTTATACTTAAATTAAACATCTTGTAAAGAATGAGCACTGTTTTTATAATAACTGTCGTGAGACATACTAAATTAACTGAAATCGCGGGTTACTCATGTGAATGTACTGAGAAAAGCTCTACTAATTTTGAACCACAAAGGGGTTCTTCCTCATGAGCAGCGTGCGGTAGAAACGCTACCGAAAATAGTAGAGCTTTTTTTAGTATATTTATGTGAGTAACCCGCGATTTTAGTTAAAATGAACACTGTCTTGTTTTTGCTCATCAGACGCGCGAATGGGCGTGAGGTATTAATAGTGTAATCGCTGTACCTAGCTGTCAAAATAAGTGTCTAATGGGTCCACTAGCTAATTGTACATTAGATAAACAGAACTACACGGTATACAGGGTGGAAATTTTTAAGGCCATCTGAAGGGGAAGTAGGTACTCATAATACTTTAGATAGAAAAGTTACTAAAAGAACTTAATTGTTTCCCTTTCATTTAACTTAGGCAGTTTATTAGAGAAATTTCATCCTTATTTACTCTAACGATCGATGCAATAAAAGTACAGGGTACAAATTTTACAAATTTTAGTCGTTTCGATAACCGTGTGCGGCAAGCTAATTTAACAAAATCTTAGAATGCAGTTTTCTTTCTTTCTCAAAATAAAGAAATATTTTCTTCGAGTAAAATTTTCTATCTAAAGAATTAAGAGTATATACTTTCCCTTCAGATGGCATTACAAAATTCTCTCCTGTATAAGAGCAAAAGACGATAATTGTAACACCTTTATTGTAAGCTTTCTAAATGTACATAATATATTAATTTCTATGTTATATTTTCCAGCCATGGTGTATGCGCTGACGAAGGTGAAGGTAGAAAGGGAAGGCATAAAGCAGGACAGGGAGTGGCTGAGTGAAGCTACTGAACGTCTGAGGAAGGAAACTGAGATGTTGATGCACGAACGTGACCGTCTGCAACATCGCTGGTCTTAAGTAGAGGTACTATAGCAAATTTTATAAACCCTTCTTCAATAATTAATACGTAAAAGTTGTCTCTTAGCGTTGGGAATAAGATCTATAATAAAGGTGGGTGAGAGATGACTCCGGTGTTCTCTTGGCTTGTTCCTTGACTATTTCGCCCTCGTTGTCGAGATCAAAAGCAAGCTCATTTGTTAAATATGTAAGTAGGTAGCTATCACTTATGAAGTTAGGTATAGAAAATGACTTTGTTTAGGCAAATATTTAAATTTTAAACTTAGCACACACTTGGCGTATGTTATGTTCTGAATTCTCTATTTTATTCCGTGTACACATATCATAACATAACATCACGCCTTTTATCCCCGATAGGGTAGGCAGAGGTGCACATTACGGCACTGTACAATGTAACACCGAGCGACGTTTGACTATTTATGTTATAAGTCCCATGTAATAATAGGGGGTGAGCCCACTGCCATCAGACTTCGTGCTACTCGAAGGACATCTGTCATTTGATTACGATATCTACCAAAAAGAAGCCTACACACGCATACATAAATAAGCTACTAAAATTTTGATGCTTCAATCATTTCTAAGTGACATTATGTCTGCTTTGTTTTCAACGTCCCTGCAAAAATATATTTAATTTCTGGCCGTAATAAAATTAATAATTTCCTAATCAATTACGTATGACCATCATCGGTAATGTAGGATTTCATCGGTAAAAGAATTTTTAAAATCCGTTCGGTAGTTTCGGAGGAGATTCCATAAACAGGTTTATATTTCCCGCGTTATTTTGACGTCCAACAGTGCTTGCAGTAGCGCCATCTTTTATCATGATTGCGTATCAATTCTTGAAATACTAAGGCGACTGCTTGCAAACTTGTAAATATTGTATCACAATTTCTATAGCAGAAAAAAATCATAACTTAAATTCCTGAGCAACTTTAGTTCACGATTTTGATTAAGCGCTGTGGATAATTTGAGTTAGCTAAACAGCTTAGCTTTCATTTTAGTTCACAATACATTTGTTAGATGGCGTTATTACACATTTTAGGTGATAAAAATGTTGTGGTGTCATAATTTGACGAAATTAATATTATTTTATGAATTTTGTTATTACAGACTGCATTTTCCAAGAACATCAGCTGATCCACAACCGAAGAGACGTCGCATTTAAGTATTACTTTTAAGTTTTTTTGAAGTACCGTTTCGTATTTACTATTTAGAATTTGTAATCAATGAATTTTCAGTAGAATTCCAAAGTTAGTTATATTTAGTTACGTTTGTTATGTTTTTAATTATTATCTAATTAAGCATAGTTCGAGAGTTTACTTATTATAAATTATTATAAATGAGTTGTCAGTAAGTGATGTCATAAAACTTTATTAGTAGATATTAATTTCAATTATAAAATTATCTTAGTTTTTAATCGAAATTCGTTAGTACACGTTATAGGGATTCACAGGAATAATTTGAACTATGTAGGATATAATATAGTGCAACTATAATTATGTTACTTGCTTACCTACAATACGGATTTAATTTACCTACCGACTAGTAATATATAGGTACCTAAGGCAATATTTACAACTAATAAATTCTTCAATGATAACAACTGTGAAAAATTAATTTTATTAATTTTATTTTATTCCTACTTAAGTATATTTCTTATTCCTGTGAATATTTATAACGTGGAAAATATTCGTTGTTCCTTTATAAAAATAGTTGTTAAGTACTATTACTTGGTTTAATTGTTAATCTTATTTTAAAAAACGTGAAACGTTCCCATTAATAATTATTTTAAGTAGGTATTTTCCTAGCTACGTATTTCTTTTTTAAGTACCTAATTGATTGTAATCATTATAATACTTATAAGTATGTAATTGTTCAATATTATACTATTAAAATGATAAGTAGAAGTAGCATTATTAATATAATTAAATAGATACTTATATCGTTATGTCTATTATATAAAATTAAGGTGAAATTTAAGTGAATGATATATAAAATGGTGATTATAAAAGCTATTATTATTTATGTTTCAGAGCTACTGAAACATGTTTGGTGGACATTTATTGGCTATACTGTTTAAAATAATTTGTAGATAATTAATATCGGTGATTCGTTTACCAGAATTGTGCTATTTACTTAAGTGTATATAAGCATTTGTACATAGATAGGGCTGGTGGCTTTTAGGGTAGGCTACACAGAATGTATGCTCACCTCGGCATGAATGATTAGTTTAGGCAGTCAAAACATTAGAAAACTCCTGTTATCTTATTATTTTGAACACTTGAATGCCACCTTTTAGGCAAAAATAATAATTTTGTGGATTCAAGGAAACTAGAACAAAAAAGTAAGCGGTATAAGCAGACCTGATACGAATTGTCTTTCATGATGGGTCATGTAAAATTAATACGACGAAAGGGCAAAATCTCTTCAAAATTAATTAAGATTTCGATTTAATTTATTTAGGTCAGATGGATAAAGAAGAATGAAGTGAGGTGTCAGAACCTTCGCAAAGACTGATCTTATTGATGATGTTTTCGGTATTAAGATACCTACAGGTTAGCAGGTGTTTAATGGCGTTGAAAAAGACACGTGTCAAATTGAATTAGGACTATTGTTATGAATGGGTGCGCGATGATGTCAAAAATATAATTAAAAAATTGTTGAAGCAAGTAGCAGAGAAAGAAAAAAGAGATATCTTTTGTTATAGGTGAGCACTATGTATGTTAATGTACGTTGTACAGATTAGGATGGTAACCATCAGTCGACCCAAAAGCTTTGCTGCCATCAAAAGTAGTATGAAAAGAACGGATCAAATCCATTTAGCTGAGCGAATGTGATGGATGGATGTAACGGAAATAGACCAAAGATTTGTTTAGAAGGTTTGAGAAGAAGTGAAAATGATATGTCATAAAAGTAATAGAAAAATAGTACAATACTTGATACTTGGGATGAGGCTAGACTCTTTATTAGGTACTATATTCTTCAAGAAAATAATCAAAATTATTCAGTTTTTGATAACTAAATTATTATTGTTGTGTCCACCTCGAAAACTCAATCTAACGAAGCTCCGTCTGCAATAGCATTCAAGTTTTTATAAATATTTATATTGTCATTTACTTGAACTTCTATTTTTATAAAACCTCTTATTATAGGGGTAGTATGTAGGTCTCTCTCATTTCAACAAAACATACCTCGAAAAGTAGCTTAGTTGTTTTTTTTAGTATAGACATGCGCACAGGTATCTGGAAGTCTGATCTCATTGATAAATTAAGGTGATTGGCTATAGGGAGTGAGGAAGACGTAAAGCGATGGTGCTGCCACCAACTTTAATGTCTAACTTTGACTTGGATAGATTTGTTCTATGTATTGACACTAAAGGAAAAGTACGTGACTGGCACTGTCGTTTTGTTTCTTTCTTTCCTATAAAAAATATTATTTATTTATTGACGTTTTTTAGCCTCATCTCTGTACGTCAAATTCCCAAAATTCTCATCCAAACGATAAAAAAATGACAGAATGTTTGTTTCGATCAATCTTCGAGATGTCTGATGTTACTTGTTAGGATAAGATTTAGTTAAGTCGTTGTTTGAGGCTAGTTAATTTTAATTTTACCTGTTATGAGGCTTCTTTTCAATTTGATCCATTTCACGTAGATGACAAAGCATAAATCACCTTGATAGACACATAATTCCAAGAACAACTTAATGTACCTATAGTAGATATTATTTAGTCCGTTTAGTGTCAATATAAAACTTTCGCTACCTTTTAGCTGCAATAATATTAAAATGAACCCAACAATATTTTATAAGATTAACTTTAATATAAACTTATTTCTAAGCCTTTGCTTTTAATATTGATTTCATGGAATATAAGTAAATGTTTTCGGATGATCTGCAACCTATTAGATTAGACTAGTATAAGCCGGTACTTTGGTATTATTGTCCTGGTACACGGTATTTTATTTCTGGGTCATTCCTTTGTCCCAGATTATACGGTGTAGAAAAAAGAAACCAGGAAACTTCAAATTCCCTTCTTCAAGGCAGAAATTCTTGATTCACATGAATAAACCAAATCTTTGGATAAAAATTTTGCTTAATATACATTATAATAATATTAAATTATGTTATACATTATAATAATATAATAATATTAATTGAGTGATCGAGTGAAAAATAGTGTTATTAGAGAGAGGTGTGGATTGAAAGACGATGTAGTGACAAGGATTGAAAAGGGAATGTTACGCTGGTTTGGACATGTAGAAAGGATGGATGAAAGTAGAGTAACAAAAGAAGTATACAGAGCGGATATGAATGGAGCCGTCGGTAGAGGGCGCCCTAGACGGACATATAGTGACCAGATTGGCGATATATTAAAGAAGGGCCAAATTAAAAGTACCCTTAACCGACGAGCATGCATGAAAAGATTGATGACTGTTAATGAAGCGAAAGAGGTATGTAAGAATCGTAGTAATTGGCGTTCCTTAGTCTCTGCCTACCCCCATGGGAGACAGGCGTGAAGTTATGTATGTATGTATGTAAATTATGTTATAGTTACAAACAAATAATAATAAGTGACATGTATTTGTAGCCATATGCCAGCTGTTGACAATATAAAGGACCCGCCAACGCCAATCACAACAATACAGTCCTTTTGTCTTGTCGTTACTTTTAAGGCCTAGCGACAACTTCCCTAATTGTCCTATTCTAATTATGGCTTGTTCATTGTGTATGTTCGGACCAGGTTATGCCCTAAAACTGCGACCAGACACCTAGGAATGGGCTGCAGCATTCCTAACTGTGATCCTCAAGCCGCCAACCAAGCGTGAGGATTATGAGGATTATGGCAAACGCACATGGCCCCCAGTCCCTGGCAGCTCCGCTATTACTGGTGTAGGTAGCGGATCGTGTAACGGCGTAACGGGGTGCTAAGATTCCCCGGCTGATGAACCGCTACTACCTCCGACAGCGGTGCTGCAGTCTCTCCAGCGATGCCATATTGAC